GACGAATTTTACAATGTATTGATTTTTAAAAAACATAACTGGATGAAAACATCAGTATACCAAAACTCCAGTACCCTGGGAGATGTGATGATGAGTACTAACCAACCAGTACAACCATGTACAACCTGTGATATAGTAGATACTAAACCAATGTATCAACTGCCACTGATAGCCTTTGTATGTTCGCTACTATGAGGACTGCTGTAAACTTCGCCAAGGCCCGCGGTGGCCATGCATGGTAAAGTCCCAGCTACTCTGGAGCCGACAGGTGGGCAGATCACGAGGTCTGGGAGTTCAGACCCAGCCTGGCAATCATAGTGAAACCCCGTCTAAACTAAAAAATGACAAAAATTTAGCCACGCGGTGTGGTGGCAGTGCACCTGGTAGATCCCAACCTATTGGGAGCTGAGGCAGGAGCGAATCGCTTGAACCCGGGAGGCGGAGGGGTTGCTGTTGAGCCGAGATCACACACCGCACTGCACGGCTGGGGCAACAGAGCAAGATGTGGTGCAAAAAAAAAAAAAAAAAAAAAAAAAAAAATTGTGTAAACTGAATTCTCTCTGATGGAGAAGGCACCATCTGAGGTCACCTAAGAAACTGTGGGAAGTATTTTTGCTGAAAGCAAGCTTGGGACAAGACATGAGATCACAGCAGGCAATCCACGAACCTTAATATACAAAAAAAGAAAGAGATGTAAGGTGTAAAGGCAAAAAAATGATTATATCTCTCATGAGGATGATGGGCCACATATAAATTGAGGTCCAAAAGCTTTACCCGAGGATGGGACCTATGTCAGAAAACCACACACAACAAATTTAAAAAAACAAACCAAAAAAAGGGTGGGCTATGTCCAAGAACATAGCTTTAAAGATCCCCTAGAAGAAGGAAGAGAGACACTACTAAAATCAGTATAAAACAGCAAAAATAAATAAATAAAAATAAAAATAAATGTAGAATGGCATGAATCTGGACTACAAAGTGCTTTTCCTCATCAAAGTAAAATCCAAAAAGCACAATAATTTCAATGTAAAAAAATCAGACAAGTCTTAAAAGAAACACAGGTAAGCTTTGGATGGGAGAGATTTTTCTAACAAGGCAAGAAACTGAATGTCATAAAGAAATGATTGACAGATTAGACTGTATGAAACACAGAAATTTCTGTGTAGCAAAAGGCACTGCCCAAAAGAGACAAATAACACTCTTGGGGGCGTCTATATTACAGACATTTGACACAGTTGAATGCAGTCCTTGAAAATCAATAAGAAAAAAATCTGCAAATAAGGAAATGGGCAACAGTTAATACATTAATCAGTCTCCAAAGAGGAAATTTATAAAGTCAATAAACATATGAAAACATGCCCAAAAATATATATAAATGAAAATAATATACTGTTCAATGGGGAAAAATATGTTTCAACATGTGTTAATTCTAATACTGGGAAGGTTACATAAAATCAGGTACTCGGGGTACTGGCGTATCCTTCAGAAA